GCATACAGAAATGGGGTACAGGCAGAGGTGCAGGGGGGTGAGAGGATTCAGCAGAGACAGAGTGGGGAGCAGACAGGTTGACTGATGAAGTATACTGCTGAGGGGAGCAGCGGGTGGGTCAGGAGAGGTCTGTCATGCTATATGGATCAACTCTGGGAAGGGGATCGAACTCATGCTGAAGTGGCTTTAGCTTCTTAGTGCTGTGTTTTAACCCACTGCACCACCAGGGAGGGCCCCAAAACTCTTTTTTTATGATCTATAACTTTGGTTTTCACCACCCTGGGTAATTGCTCTTCTTCGGTCTATGAGTTTCCAGTATAACGCTGAGTATTAACTGTGAAGTGAGAAACATCTGACTTTGAATTTTAGTTCTAACATTTAAAATATGAAAGTGTTTGAGAAGTTAGCTTTTCTGAAGCCTGTTGTCTTCATTGTAAATCAGAATTATTAAAAACATTGGCTTTATATAGCTTTTTTGAAATTCAAATCAGATAATGCACACATAGCCTTGGGTATACAGTGGCCAATGCATAAGGTTGGCTTTTTTTTTTTTTTTAAAGATTTATTTATTTGTGCATACAGAACTGGGGTACAGGCCAGAGGCTCAGGGGCGGCGAGAGGCTTCACCAGAGACAGAGCGGGGAACAGAGCAGGCAGATCAACGAAGCACACTGCTGAGGGGAGCAGCAGGCGGGCCAGCAGAGGTCTGCCACGCCATGTGGTCACCTCCGGGGCAGGCGGGAATCGAACTCATGTGGAAGTGGCTTTAGCTTCTCAGTGCTGTGCTTTAACCCGCTGCGCCACCAGGGAGGGCCCTAAGGTTGGCTTTTGCTGTTTTTTGTGACCATTGTCATGGTTATCATACTGCTATCAGAAGTAGCCAGTGGTAAAAAAGCATCTTGTACTCATCCATTTACCTGTGTTTGAAATCTGCCATCCTTACTTGGATCCACATCTTCCAGGAAGATGTTTTTGTGTTGTCACAAGAAAGGAATCTTCACCAGCAGTAAGAGACAGGTTCAGCAAAGCCCAGTACTTTTTAAGCTTCTATTGCATCACATTTGCCAATGTCCCATTGGCTAAAGCAAGTGACATGGCCAAGTTCAAAGACAAGGATGGAAGCAGACACTGCCTTTTCTTGAGGGAGAAAAATCTTCATTAGGGCCATTGTTTTCCCTGCAACTCACACAAATACTGAGTAACAAAGAAGTTCTATGGTCTCAAGGGAAAAAAATAATAATCCTTATGTTGGTAATAAAACTATGCTTAGGGCCCTTCATGATGGTGCAGCAGGTTAAAGCACAGCACTAAGAAGCGAAAGCCACTCAGCATGAGTTCAATTCCCCAGCCCCAGAGGTGACCCACATGGCGTGGCAGACCTCTCGTGGCCCGCCCGCTGCTCCCCTCAGCACTGTACTTCGTCCATCAGCCTGTCTGCTCCCCACTCTGACTCTGGTGAAGCCTCTCTCTGCCCCTGCAGTATATTCTCCAACACCTTGCAAAGGTAAACTGAGGTGACATGACAAGACAATATGCATTGAATCAGAAAGCTGGGGGTACACAGGTGGAGTGCATGTTGTATCTGGATTCACCCAGATAATTAAAAATAATTAAAAAAAACTATACTTAAGTAAGCACTGAATCACTTCTGACTCTGAGAGATGACTTAGATGAGTATTCTTATTTACATTTATAGGTGAAAACAGCTGACATTTAGAGTGTTTGTCTAGGTTACATAATGAATTAACATGGATTAGACTTTGAGACCTTCTGATTGAAGTAGTAGTCTTTCCAAGAGTACTAGACTTGACTTAATAAAATTACTCCCTTTTCAAATTTGGGACAACTTGGTACCATTTCTCTGCTTTCCTCATGACATTAGTTTCTCAGTGAGGTTGATCTTTATGCTTAATTCTTAAGACATATGAAACATATTTACAAAACATATTTAAGTAGGAGTCATCCTACTTATTATTATAATAATATGTTCTTATTCTGACCTGATTATTTTTGACCTTTGTCTTTTTGAAGACACTGTAGCTCATCTCCTTCAATAAGCCCAACTGTGAGAGTGTCAACTGTGTGGAATATTATGAGTCCATGTGCTCACTAGTAAGTGCTTCCCTTTGAAATTTGCTCAATAGCTTGCTGCCATCCTTGCCCCAGACTAGAACTCTGAATCAACAGTCGCCCTGAAACCCTGATAAACTGCATGCTCCCTTACAAGATCATATGAGATCAAGATCAAAGGTCTATATTAAAGCACAGCACCATGACCCACAGCACTTCCATGATTGTGTTTGGAAACAGTGCAATCTAAACCTAAAATTCAAGTTACTGACATTCCTGCCCCCCTTTCCAGGTTATTAATTCTTTGGTTGAAAAGACTAATAATGGTGTTTCTTTTATGTGACACTTCATAAATTTCACATCCTTCACTTAGTTATTACAAAAATGGTGACATTTAATACTGTTAATATCTGTATCTCTTTATAAATCAAAACACTTAGACTCCAAAAGAGAGGTTACTTTTCTGAGATGACAGTCAGAAAGGGGTGAATCCAGATACAACATGCACTCCACGTGTGTACTCCCAGCTTTCTGATTCAATGCATATTGTCTTGTCATGTCACCTCAGTTTACCTTTGCAAAGTGTTGGAGAATATACTGACTTCATTTGTATCCCCAATACTATTTACTTCAGATTTAATTATATACTGAATTACACTGTTATTTAACTGTTTCATAAGTTCTTATTTTCTTAATGATATGGTAAGCTTTATAAGATATTTTTTCCCTTTCTAATACTCCCATTTCACCCACCATCCTGTTGAAATCCTAGGAGGCAGGCAGCAAAGAGCAAGCCCCACTTCTCCCTGAGGGGCAGAATGAGCTGACTGTGAGGCTTATAAATGACTTGCCTTACTGCTTTTGTTAGTTTCCTTTTTAGAGGAGGCATTAGTGCAGACAGCCCACTGAACCCTCCAGTCTTGTTTTCTCCCCTTCCTTGTAAGCTTCCAAAAGTAGATCTGTTTACAGCCTTCATTCAGCCACAATTATTTGGTGAGTCTGAAATAGTTAATATACATGATAATAAGTATTTGAGAATTATCTTACTGCAGGGACCCTTCAACAAGTGGAAAGTCTTTGAAGGTCAGTCTCTCCTTAGACCGCAGTGAAGACACAGACACTTTTGGAGAGCTGCAGGGAGGGATTCATCAGCATTATCCCATCCCCTCCTTCAGCTGCCATCCCCATCCTCCCATCCCCTCTCACCTCCTCACTGTGGTTCTCTTTACTTAGCTCAGCATTCCAGTTGTACCTTCTGTTTTGAGATTACCTAGACTTGACTTAGTTAAGCCATGTGATATGTAACATGTGTATCTCCTAGATCTGCAAACCTCCACTGTTTTTTACTGAAACTTATTTATGTGAGGTCAGGAAATGGCAGCTTTTTACCATTCTCATCGTGTTAGCATTACTATTGCTGCTGTGGGCAGTTGGACTCTTGCAGGTATTTGTTCTTCTATTCACATTTATTTACAGGTGCTTTGCTTGGTGTTCAGGTCGTGGTTATAGAGCTCAATGGCAGCATGATTCCTGTGTTCAGAGTTGTTATGGACTAATAGGGAAGGGAGGTTGCTATCAAATTATGAGATAGATTATAATTCTGATAGTGCTACAAGGAAGAGAAGTGAAGCTCCATCATGCTAGGAACAAGTTGGCCAGATCAGAGAGATTTACTGAGGGAAAGGGTCATGGAAGTAGCTCTGAAGGCAGAGGAGTGCTTACAATCTCTGCTGAAGAGTCCAGAAAAAGGGCAGTTATGACAGAGTGTATCCCAAACCTGCATTCTACTACCAGCAAATATGAAGCCTGGAGGAAGACTCGAAAGATATAGCAGGTGTTGCCATGGCCTGAGGGGAAAGACGCTTTGAGAACGTCAATTAAATTCAGTCAGGACTGATGAGTAGAAACTATGCGTAGAGGAAAGGAAAAGAAGAAACTGTATGGGAGACTACAGAAGGCCCAACAATGTAAACACACTAGTGGGATGAGGTCCAGACAGGGACTTCCTTTGAGTGAGTCGGGTGATAGTGTTGTAACATCTTACATTTAGAAATATTTTTGGTTGCCCCACACTTCAAATAATTATTTTGGAATGGAAAAATTCTCGAGTGGCCTCAAAAATAAAATCCCATTTTGCACTTCAATAGATGTATTCATAGCAAAGCAAAGCTATGTGGGAACACAAGCGCTCTGCACCAGGGGTATGGGGCCCCCTTCAAATGGCTCAGCTCCGAAGCCACTACATTGAATATCAGAATGACTGAAGTTTGACTATGAGGAAACTTCCTCTTTTAGAGAGTTATATCTGTGGGACTTCCACATTTCCCCTTTTCTTTTCATGCTTAGTTTCCAGAAGGTGAGATGGTACTCCCGCTTTGTGAACTTCCTCAGATCTAGGGAACTTACAGTTGCTCCATTTCCCTTCTGACTTTCATCATCTTCAGTCAGGTACTTCAATAAAAGTAGACTTCAGAGAAAATGAACCAAAAAAATTTAAATCTAAGAACCTGAATTTTCTTTTTCTTGTTACTTTCCTCAATCTTTTCTCTCCCAGATATGACCATTGATAGGGTTCAGTGGGCATAATTCCAAGATCTAGGGAACTATTAGATCTAGGGATCTAAATTTTATCTCAATAACTTTAGCATTCCAGGTGAAAGAATGAAGTGTTGGTTGTTTTTCCAGCAGGTTACATGTGCTACCAATTTGCTGTGCAAACAGAAGACTCCCTTGGAGTTCTCTTTATTGCCTTGTAAATTGTTTCTTTGTACTCTCGAAGGAAAGTCAAGTTAAATAATAATCATACTTGTTTATCTCCACAGGAAAAATAAAAGCTTAAGAACTTATTAACATTGTTGGTATACTTGGTGGTAAATGCAGAGTCCTACTAAAAATGAGCTTTCAAGACAATATTTATTGTTCTAATACAGGATGAAGAGGAGGAAATCAAACAAGAAATTAATATGTTGAAGAAATATTCTCATCACAGGAATATTGCTACATACTATGGTGCTTTTATCAAAAAGAACCCACCAGGCATGGATGACCAACTTTGGGTATGTAGTGTTGTCCAAATTTGTCTTTATTACTGAAGAACAAATAGTCCATTTCTCTATCCTTGAATCTACTTTTGATTAGACACTTAGTTTCCTTGAACACCTCTCTCTATCTTTTTAGTATCTCTATCTTCTCTTTCTTAATGTGGACCATCCTTAAAGCCATTTGGTAAGTTGTTTGGTTTTCTTTTTCTCTTTTTTATTCCCATCAATTACTACATTTATTGAGTTTATTTTTAATACATTTCAGTCATGCTATTTATTTTTTATGGATTGTATCATTTATTCTAACTCCTTAAAGTAGAGGTTATTATCCTTAATTTTTTTAAATGATGAAACTAGGGTTTACAGAGAAGATAAGTAAGCTACCCCAAGGTCTCTGTTACAGAAATGATGGAGCAAGGATCTGACCAAGCTCTCTACATGATTCTTTCTCATGTGAATGATTGAAATTTAAATTCCAATGCTGTGAATAAAACACCTGGGACAGTGTTTCATATGCATAAGTACTTTCAAAGGTCCTGTTCCTTTTCTGGTTCCCATGTCCACTCACTTATATGCCACAGCCTGTATCTTCGATATCTCTAGTTGACTGTCCCACTAATACCAGTGTGTTTGATGCCAAAACCACCACTCCTGTCCCAACCATGCCTAACTAAATTGTTCTTCTTCCCATCTTCCTGGTTTCTATCACTTGAATGTGTATTTACATAGTCTTTCAGACAGTTTTAAAATGATGCCTTGGCTTAACCTTCATTGGCCAGTATTATAATCATCTCATTCTTATAAGATCATATTCTCTCTTACATTTTCTCTTTCTCTCTTCTCTCATTTACACACCTCTCTCCCTCACTTCCCCTTTCTTCTCTTTCCCCTCTCTCTTTCTCTCTTTGTAGTTCCCATGCATTTGTTGTTATGTTTAATCTTTCTAGAAATACCTTTTTAACCACTTATCTTGTTCATTTGCCAGAGGTCTTAATGTGTTTAACACACAAAATTTACTGCTACCTAGTTTTCTGGGTGCCAAATTATGTACTAAACTATAATGATGCAGTGTCTACTATTTCATGATAATTTTTCAAGGAACAGTCTTCATTAGAAGTTAACTCTCTTAATTTGTAAAACATTTATATTTCAGCTGAGAATACAAAGTATATACAGCAAACACAATTGGTGACCAAAAAGTTATAATATTAGTTCAGAAAAATAAGATGTTATGTTATTTTCGTTCAATACCACCAAATTTAAAATGAAAAGAGTGGTTGGGAATGTTTTGGACTCACCTCAAATTTTAAAATAAAAAAAATGTGTAAGTATTGGCATAAATAAACACATTGTGTGTTATTATATTGATTTTATATATTTCATGTAATTTCTTTTTTTTAAGATTATTTATGCCTACAGACTGGGGTACAGGCCAGAGGTTCAGCGGCAGTGAGAGGATTCACCAGAGACAAAGTGGGGAGCAGAACAAGCAGATCAATGGATTACACTGCTGAGGGGAACAGCAGGCGGGTCAGAAGAGGTCTGCTACACTATGTGGGTCACCTCCCTGCCCAGGGATCAAACTCATGCTGCAGTGACTGTGGACAACTTCATAGTGCTGTGCTTTAACCCATTGTACCACAAGGGAGGGCCCTAGTTGTGGTCTTTTAAATGTATAATACAGTAAAAATTAAAAATGTAAAACCATAGGGGAAAGTAAATAGGACATTAAATGTAGTCATATGAAATTCATCCTATATGAGTGATATATGGCAGCAGTCATTAAAAAGAATTATGACAGACAGATTACACCAATATATAGAAGTTCCTTATTACCAAAAAAGCACAATAAAGTTAAAATGCAGATAACTACCTTAGGAAAAACATTTATTTATATATATATATGGACAAAGAATTAAGTGGCCTTTAAAGATGAGTAGTTTTTATAACTCAATAGAAAAAATGAAACTACTAATAGAAAGACTGAGGAAAGGTAGCAGTTAACAAAGAAACATCAAATAAAGATATCACTAAAACATCTTACGAGCACTATAAATGCAGATGAAAACAAGAATTAGATACCATTCTTACATAGAGATAGGCAAAGTTGATTTTAAATGATTGTACCTCTAATGGCTGCTCCATGCTTGTGGAGTCAAACTGATACAAATTTACTCAAGGGTGGTTGGAATATACACAGATAAACGTGCATACGATATTGATGCATCTCCCAAACAAATTACTTATTATTAACCCAGTGTTTCCACATGCAGAAATTATACTACATAAATCCTTGAGTAAGTCCTTATGGATGCATGTAGAAGATAACTGATAGGGAACTGCTTAAGTGAACCCATCAATGAACATTTTGCAGCCAGTTAAAATGAAGATCTATATTTTCAGATTAACGTTTTAACAATTATAGCAGGGCTTTCTTCAAGAAATGCAGATAACTACCTTAGGAAAAATGCAGATAACTACAGTAATGTTTTTATTTTTATCAAAATACGGACATATATATATTGACATAGTAGAGACATGTGGAATAATGTACACAAATTGCGCTGAAAATATTTGTTTCTGAGTAGGAATTTCAGTCACTTAATTTTAAAATATTTCTCTTTTTCATATCTGCTTAAAAAAAAAAAAACAGCCATTCTCTTGGGCTCTCCCTTGTGCATAACAGGTACTGTGCACCATACTATGAAGCTCAGAAGCTACTTCAGCTCTAGGTTGATCCCCAGCCAGAGAGCTGACCCACGTGGCACGGCAGACCTCTCCTGACCTGCCTGCTGCTCTCCTCAGCAGTGTACTTGTTGATCTGCCTGTTCTGCTCCCTGCTCTGTCTCTGGTGAATCCTCTCACCCACCACACCTCTGCCTGTACCCCAGTTCTATAAGCATAGACAAATAAATCTTTTTAAAAAAAAAAAAATTCTCTTAAGCCTATCATCAGGGTCATTTCTGCTGTTCCTCCTCGCCCTTGCTTGTGGGTGTCCTGCTTTTGCCACTCATACAAGCTGTAGCTCTCTGAAGACAAGAATTTTCCATTTGCATCTCAGTGCTCCCATCAGCACTGGAAAGGTATTAGGCACATCATACTGACAAAAGAGATTTATGAGTAGAAGTGATATTAGATACAAATATCTATGTGTATTAGATGAGATTGTTATTATTATTACTATCGCTGTTACTTTAATTGGTTCAATTGATTGTTACAAAACTTTGTGAGAATCCAGTTTCTTGTGCCCTGCAGGTTCAGTAGGATACAGTGGGATGGCAAGCGTGGGGATGTCTCTGTCTTCCCAAAGAACAAGGTTCTCACACTTTGGCAATGACCCCCATCATGCCATCAGCAACAGCAGATGGGACATGGAGAATGAGAGCTATTTTAAGGTTATGTATAGAGAGGTTTTTTTGTTTGATCAGGGCTATAGTTTCAAATTAAAAGAAAGCATTAATTGAGCTTTGGAACCAATACCCAGCATATCACCTGAGGCAGTACAAGTATTTCCAGATAAGCCATACCTTACTATTAATATCATTCTTTTGTGTGATTTGGGCCAGACAGAAAAGTTGGTTTTCTTGCTAGATTGATCTGTTGAAGTTTATCCATCATTGGTTGAGGGAAGGAAAGGAGTGGTCAAAATGAGTCTGACTCAATTTTACCTTTTTTTTCCTAATGCTTAGATTTTTTAACCTGGAAAGAAAATTAGTTGTCATATGTTCTTCTGGATCCCAGTGAAGTTCACTGATTCCCCCAGGGGTCTCAAATGTCATTCTATAAGACAGTGATGATAGAGTACACAATGCAGGCATTTACAGAATACACGATGGGACTGTTTTAACTGAAGTTAAGCCTGAAGTTCCATGAAAGGCACTGGAAGCTTTTCTTCAAATAAGCAAAATCTCACCATTCAGTTGGGCGATCCATTTTCAGATAGGCACTGGGAGAAAACAACAAAACATTTTGCTTCTGCATGGCATCCCCAGCAGGTTTTATATGTAGGAGACTGGTCACTGGCCCTCAGGTCTCAGACTAGCCAGTTGCTTTTCCTCTAGAGGGTGCTGTGGTTGCTAGGGAAACACAGGAGCTGAGTGGTTGTGTTAATTTGTTCACCATTCATCACATACCTTGCTAGACACACGGTACCTTGTGGAAAACTTAGGATATAACAATTAAAAAAAAAAACTGGCAAAAGCCCTTACTTGCAATACAGCTTACATTCTTACCACAGACCAAAAACAATAAACTTAAAAAATAAGAAAACACTAGTGAGTGCTGAATGCTGGTCAGTGCTAGAAGAGCAGAGTATAATTAATGGGGTTGCAGCTATAACGGCTGCAGTGTTTGGTGGCCAAAAGAATCCCATAATCCTGAAATAGCAATGAGGCCCTTGTGACTAGAAGACATGGGAGATGAGGACTGGGCCAGATTGTACAAGGCCCTACAGGCCATTGGTAGGAAGGAAACTTTTACCCTGAGTAAGATGTGAGTTTGGGGGGCACTGAAGGGTTTTGCAGGTGGTGGAGAGCATGCTGACCAGCTAGTGAAGGCCGGGCCTCTGTGGTGAGTGGGATGAGACTAGACACAATGGGCCCAGAATACAAGCAGGAAGACAAATTAAGAGGCTCTTTCAGCAAGCTAATACCCTTCTTGAAGTTGGCAAAGAGATGTTTTCCCACCTGCAAATAAAAGTAGGTGGTGAGGGCCCTCCCTGGTGCCACAGCAGGTTAAAGCACAGCACTGAGAAGGTAAAGCCACTTCAGCATGAGTT